TGGAAGGAGTATAAATGTAAATATGTACAATGCAAAAATACAAATACAAACTGAGCTTTAGGTTCACTTTGAAAAGAATACAAATGCAAATATGAGCTGGAAGCGGGCCGTATGCATTTAAGGCGTGAATTATTGATTCCACATAAAGTATGCATTGAGCAGGCTTTATAAATTCTAACTTTTCTCTTCATCATGCATTTGCCTTCATTTTGCCTTGCATTTCATCAATATTTCTCTCCAAAGTACTAAGCCATGGGATCAGACGGCATTTCGAGCAGCATCCTCCAAAGCGAAGCTCTCTCCAAGGTCTTCAATTATTGTATTCTTTCTGGGTGTTGATGAGTAAAATYAAAATCAAAAGGTCGTAATTAATACGCCTTTTTCATGTTGCAGTATATCTTAGAAACAAGTGTTTATCCAAGGGAGCATGAGCAACTTAAAGAAATTAGAGAGGCCACAGCTGAGAAGTATGGTTTCATGTAAGTTTACTCTTTGTTCTTCTTCCTTTTTCTTAATTTGTTCCTTTCAGTAACGAGGTTGYTTTAATTTGGAGGTAAATAATTAATTAACAAGATGGTTTAAGTTTAATCTTCAACTGTTTATTGGGAAACATGTACATGGTATAGGAGCATAATGAGCTTGGCGCCAGATGAAGCACAGTTCCTATCAATGCTTTTAAAGGTTATGAATGCCAAGAAGACATTAGAGATCGGAGTGTTTACTGGCTATTCTCTTCTCACCACTGCTCTTGCACTGCCAGAAGACGCCAAGGTTGGTAACTCTCAAGTCTCATCCTATACCCCCAATACTATTTTGTTTTTGGTTGGCAGATGGGAGTTTAGAAAGAATTTACAAGGGTTGCACGCAACCACGGTTGCAGAATATCTATATATTTTTGGTTTTAGCCTTGGGTTAGAACCGCGAATTACACAGTCCGGATCAGATGGGGACACACTATGGGCCATCCGTTCGGTTCAAATGATTGGACTGTTTGACTCAGAAACTGAATCCTTAATCGGTTTGTTGTCTGATTCGATATTAAAAACCTTAATTGAGATGATATATTTATGTAGCATTAATTGTTAATTGTTTATACTCTACACTATTTACTTAGTTAAATTTAGCAATAGAATATGTGAAACTTTTCTTTGTAGGTAACAGCAATTGATGTTGATAAAAAAGCCTTTGAGCTAGGATTGCCATTTATCCGCAAGGCTGGCGTGGAGCACAAGATCAACTTTATGGAGTCTGATGCCATGTTGGTAATAAAGGAAATGTTGAGCAATGTGAGTTCATAGTTCCTTATACATCACACATAAGAAAGCAATAATATTTGTTTTCTTCATATTTCCCTATTCCATGCATGATTCACTTTATGATAGGTAGGGGTGAAAAATCAAACCAAACATTAATAGTCTAAGTTAAGATTAGGGTTGAAAAATCAAAGTTTTTATTTTGCAGGGTGAAGATGGTTTCGATTTTGTATTAGTGGATGCTGACAAAGAAAACTTCATCAAGTATCATGAAATACTGATACAATTGGTGAAGGTAGGAGGAATTATTGCATACGACAACACACTGTGGTTTGGCTCAGTTGCACATGCAGAGGGTGATGAGATGTCAGAAGTTATGAGGAAGTACAGGGACTCCATGTTAAAGTTAAACAGCTACTTGGTTTCTGATTCTCGCATTGAACTATCCCATCTTTCCATTGGCGATGGCCTTGCTTTATGCAGGCGTTTGTATTAATCTTCACTAGTTTGAGTGCAAGATGATGAGTGAGGAGAGAGAGAAATGGATGGATTATTAGCTTAATTAGAATTCCTGCATGGAAGCTTGGACGTGGAGCTTAAGCAAGTAGCAGTATTATAAAATAAATATTTTTCTTTAGGCAATAAGTAGTTAATGGTCATTTTGTATGAATTCCACTCCTGAGCTTTTTGTTTTTTTATTTGGTGGTTTAAGAGRTTAAATGAAGTTTGGTACTTTGGTGTTTGTAATGAAAAGTGCACTTATGGATGGTATCTACATCAATATTGTAAAATGTTTTGAAAGCCTTCTTGTTAGTATTTCATTTGATTAAGAGGATAAAGTTAAAAGATTTAATTTGATTTGTTACTTTGTATCAGCACGTTTCCCAAGGCAACAGATAAAAAATATACATGTATTTACTTTTTAAAGATCTAATCATGGGCAGGTTGGAGTTGAGCTTTTACCAAAATTAAATGAACCCGGACCAAAGCCTGAAGCCAAAAGTCAACATCACAAGGCCAAAAGTCAAAATTATGATCAATTCAGCCATACAAGGATCGCAGCTCTTAAAGTCAACATCACAAGGGTGATCTTGTACCGCTCAATGCATTAAAGGCTTAAATTTCACTTGTGGTGCTAAAACCATGTCCTAGCAAAACTAGGTTAATAAAATATTAATAGGACCCATTGACAGCCTAGAGAGAGAGATCCTTGAATAAATGGTAATGCTCGGGATCTCCTATTACCCACATGCATTGGGAACATCTAGCGGTGGCAATTAGACGGGTTGGGTTGTATTTGGATTGGGTTGAGCTTCAATCTAATTCATCTAATCCGTTAACCTATTAATAAAATTAAATGGGTTGGATTCAACCCAAATTTATTTTAACCCAATCTAATTCATCTAAATTCATTAATCTTATATTTATGTATATAAAGCAAAAAATTAACTCCCTCTTGATAAATAAGTTGGTCATAGCTTAGTGGTAATATTAGTTGCTATTTACATAAGTGGTGAAGGCTCAAATCACATTACATGCATGTTAATTTTAAATAAGCGGCAAAGCCATTTAACTATGTTTGGATTTCAGGTTTGATCAAACCACTTAGGTTCAAACCGGTTAGACTAACTTGAACTATCTAATTGGATTGCCTTCGAGCTATTCACATCAAGGGTGGTTGACTGTTTAGATCTGGATCAATCTGGTCGGACCAGACCGGACCGATTTAGTCAATGGCAGATCGACATGGACCGGCCCATATCAGGTTTGTGCACAGGTTTGAGACCGATCCGACCAGTCCGAAGCAGGTCAAGAGAATTAAATCAGACCGGTCCAAATTTGGGTCAGGTTGTGCGAATACGGTTTGTACCGGGCGCTCCAAATCGAGTAAAGTAAACGGGGCATATATTGGGTCGGGACGTTGGGTCTGGACCAAACAACCCACGTCATACCCGTTTTGGATTCGGGTTGATCCAGATCGGCATGTCCCGAGTCGGGTTGGGATCAAACTGGGCTATCTGATCCAAACGAACCGAACTGAGGTGATCGGGTCTGTTCATATTTAGACCAAATTGAGCTGGTCTAGACTTGAGTCAAGTTGATTTGGATTTATGTCGATTTGGGTGAAGTGTGTTGATTCGAGACAAAACTAATTTTAATTAATAATTAATAGAAAATTAATGCATTAATTATAAATTATTTCTTTCAAATAAAGAAAATTAAAAACAACTTAAGGAATTAATACTTGTATCTTTAGTGGTTAACCCAATGGTTATCCACAACCCAACCCAATCCAACCCATTTAAATTGACCCAATGGGTCATCAACCCATTTCCAACCCGCCAAGTAAATGGACAAGTTGGGTGGGTTGGGTGGG